GTGTAAGACTAGAGGGAAGGCAGCTAGTCATCACCACCCACCGCCAACTCTTGGGCTACTCTTTTACCAACGAATAGTGGGATTGACCGTCACATTATAACGCCCCCACGGCTGAAAGGGCGAGCATGTTTGGTGGGACGGGGATACGAACCCACTAGTTTGTAATAAGTAGATTGGGTGATTTTAAAATGTATGAAGAAATTCCTGCGTTACTGACCTTTAGCTCCTAATTATTGTATATCACGGATATATATATATATATATACCAGACACGTGAAAATCATATATTACAGATGAAACTTGATAAAAGATCCATTGCCCTACATTGTACAGAATAAAAAATCTTTACACGCCACAAAGTAGAGGAACTTCGGTTACGTTAAAAGAACTGGATTTGATAAAGAGTAAACTCTAGATTGGGGTAGAAACATCTGAATGTGCTACATCATTCTATTTCGTTAGAAAATGATTTGCAGAAGTGAAAACTGAGACGACCTGTAAGAAGAATTGAATCCCGCCCAAGTTTCAGTTGTTCAGATTAATATCTTCTAATGCTTTGAAGCTTTTGGCTGTTTTGTTTGCATATTTATTTGAATCCTTCAATCAGATATCACACATACAAACACAACTAGAATCGTAAAATGAACCAGTCAACATTCTTCTTGTCCAGTTCATAAAAGATATTTAAATTTTTTTTTACAAGAAAAAGAGGGCTCAGGTTGGTCTGTGGAAGAGCTCTAGATTTCGGAGCTGATAAACCAAACTTTAATCAGTGCGATACCACGAAATATTTTCCACACTTAAAGCTGTGGGTGCGTTATAAGAGTGACAGTTAAGCCCTTAACTTGAATGGTTGTGGGTGGTAGAGTGTTACTGACTGGCTACTTTCCCTCGGTTATTAGTTCAAAATCAAGAACGGCGGCAGATAACTTTAGTAGCTTTCCCATAGATATAAAATACAGCACAAGAATACAAATACAATAATGACGCATAACATTTTCTTGAAGATTCAAAGAAAGCATATGCACGGAAAAATTAATTCCTAATGATAATATGATGAAACTTGACGTTGTTCATTTTAATGTAATGTTCTTACTATTTAATGCTCTAAAAACATTTATACCTAATTAACACCTAGTGATACTGAAATTCTGATTATTTCTTTATAGTTATTACAGCCTTATGAATTATTGCCACAAAACGATTATCAAGAAGTTGTAATAATTTTTTCTAAGTATTTCTTGTTTGTTTGTTTGTTGTTAAGCACAAAGCTGAAATACTGGATGGGTAATCGCAAACCCCTCAATAAAATTAGTATCCTTGGCATCTTTATTGGAGTTGGGTTTGCTATGGGTCATCCTGCATATTGTGAATCAATACTAAATATCTTATCTAGAACTGATAAATTAGTATATTTGGAATCTTTATTGGAGTGAGGTTTGCTATGAGTCACCCTGCATATTGTGAATCAATACTAAATATCTTATCTAGAACTGATAAATTAGCATCCTTGGCATCTTTATTGGAGTGGGGTTTGCTATGGGTAACCCTGCATATTGTGAATCAATACTAAATATCTTATCTAGAACTGATAAATTAGCATCCTTGGTATCTTTATTGGAGTGGGGTTTGCTATGGGTCACCCTGCATATTGTGAATCAGTACTAAATATATTATCTAGATCTAATTACTCTGCTCGATCTTATAAGCAACGCTCTGTGCTCTTGATATTTACTATATAGACTTTGGACAAGCCAGAAAATTAGCATTTCCTTTCAGCCAATTTGTTATTTTACTCCTCATAAACCGTACTTTTGGGCAGTTTTTGCTTCGGAGCAGTCGTATATGTGAAAGAATAATAACGTTATCGTCTACAATGTGGGGCACCTGATGTGGTCCACCGATTGACTAGAATATAAATCTCAGACGATCCACACCAGTTAGCTCATAACTGATTTTCTTTGTAAAACAAAAGTGTTAGCGAATGTACATTTTCTCCTTACCTATAACGTAGTCATATTCAGATCGAATTCTCTTCACATCCATCTCAAACTGTCTATCCCAAGCTCTGTAAAAGAAGGCAGAAAGTAACGGCAGCAAAATCTGCTCAAAAGACAACACACTTGGCATCGTGGCGACCGTTCGAGAACGACACGATATTGATGAACGTTGTTTGGTATAGAAACCAGTTCTCTACTTTCGGGTCGCGTTGTCCAGTACAATAGAACAGGTATCGAAGAACGGGTAAGTAGCAAGATGAAAACAAAAGTTTCCACCTTGCTCGAAGCTGTAACCTAGCTCTACAACAACTTTCACTTTCACAGCTCTTTTAAATAAGTGAAAGCCAATTATTAAAACCTTTGTTCGGTGTGCGCAAACCAGAATTTGTATGCGCTAGTTGAAGTAGGCAGGCCTTACTATGTCACCGCCCACCCTGATATACCCTGGTGTAGCAGAATGTATTTTTCAGTTTTTTATTTTAGAAATTAGGACAGGAGGTTAATGGGATTATAGATTCTTTGTGCATCCAACCAGTGACATCCAATGGTCTTGATACGATTTTTATTAAGTAATGAATCTTATATCCATTTTAATCTGTATATATTTGTAAGATAAAACAAAAATGTGGCTATTACTGTCTATGTGTATATTTGTAATACTTATACTTAATACCTGTTTTAACACCTGTATATATTTATATGATAAAACAAAAATGTGGCTATTACTGTCTATGTGTATATTTGTAATACTTATACTTAACACCTGTTTTAACACCTGTATATATTTATATGATAAAACAAAAATGTGGCTGTTACTGTCTATCTGTATATTTGTAATACTTATACTTAACACCTGTTTTAAAATGTATATATTTGTAAGATAAAACAAAAATGTGACTGTTACTGTCTATCTGTATATTTGTAATACTTATACTTAACACCTGTTTTAAAATGTGTATATTTATATGATAAAACAAAATCGTGTAATATTTATAGTTAACATACCTAAACGTACACCTATTTTAATATTCGTTCTTATTTAATTAGTCTATGCTTGTTGAAAAGTTATTGACGATCTCAATTTAAATTGGAAAACCTTTTTTTTTGTAATAAAATAAGTTAAAATAAACCAATTATGTAGTCCCAGTAAAACGTACACTGATGTATGTATGCTAAATGTAAGTATTACACGATTACATTGAGACAGTAAACGAAACCAATCTTAACGTAATAAGCCACTTAATATCGTCAATTAACTTATAATAACAATAAAACCTATAGCATCTTAAGTCCACTGAATCACTAGTTAAGTATTCTCGCTGCTTAAGGATATTTTCGGCTGTAGTCACAATAACATCTCACAAGGTTTGGTCAGCTTAGGCGATTTAGGCTATTGCTAAATTCACATATTAAGCCAACGATGAAAAATAGTCAGAATAAGAATAAACAATCAAATTTATTATAACCAATAATATTAATGTAACTAATCAAATAGTATAATATGTCATTACTTTCAAAACACATAAAAATCACAGCCAGTTGTTATCACGATCCACACGGTTGAACAATATACGAAACTATGTAAATCCACCATTAACTGAAACGTTCAATAAATAAATATATGAAATGTTGAGTTAAATAAGTAATTAGCGGATGTCATTTAATACTTGATAAATAATTTTCAGCAGACGAGTAAGAACCACTGATTAACCACTAGTTAATCAATATTGACATAATCCATTTATATAACTTTTAAAAATTAAACGAATCTTTCGGTTTTAAAAACTTGAGAAACATCAGAATATGAAACACGTGGGTGATTGTTTGTTTCTTTTTAATTTCGCGCTAAGCTACACCAGGACTATCCGCGCTAGCAGTCCCTAGAGGGAAGGCAGCTAGTCATCACCACCCACCGCCAACTCTTGGGCTACTCTTTTACCAACGAATAATG